CCTGTTAGATGTTAAGATGTGTGTTTCTGTTATTTGGGCTTTGTCTATTCTGTATTTAGGGCATTGGCCCATATCTTACAATATAAATAAACTACCCTATGTGTATGCTAAACACACAAGGGGATATTTTCTCCCAATCTTCTCTATTTCTCATACCTCCAAAATATCAAGGGCATATTTTCTTTGTGAAGTGATGACTCCTTTTTTTGATTCTATCACTTCAATACCAAGAAAGTATTTCAGACGACCTAGGTCTTTGGTTTGGAAGTGGTTGAACAAATAATTCTTTAATTGAGCAATTCTAGCAACATAATTTCCTATAATCACAATATCATCAACATAAACCATGAGATAAACACATTTGTCAGGAGTAGAATGCTCGTAAAACACTGAATGATCTGCTTCACGTCGTCTCAATCCGAATTGTTGCACAACACGGCTAAATTTACCAAACCAAGCTCGAGGTGATCGTTTCAAGCCGTAGTGTGAACACTCTAATTTACAAACTAACTTAGACTCTCCCTGAGCAACACGACTCAATCCAGGAGGTTGCTCCATGTATATGTCCTCTTCTAGATCACCATGAAGAAAGGCATTTTTAATGTCCAATTGGTGAAGGGACCACTGATGAATGGCAACCATGGTAAGAAAAAGACGAACAATACTGATTCTGGCCACAGGAGAAAAAGTATCACAATAGTCAAGACCATAAACTTGAGTATAACCCTTCATTACTAGACAAGCTTTAAGACCATCAATTGCACTAGTTGGACCAACTTTAATAGCATATACCCATCTACAGCCCACAGGTTTCTTACGAAGAGGAAGAGGTACAGGTTCCCAAGTGCCTGCATTTCATCAATCATGGCTTGTCGCCATCCAGGGTGATGAAGTGCCTCATGAACATTATTAGGAACTTTGATATTAGAAAGGAGGATACAAAAGAGAAATATGTAGGAGACAAATGATGGTAACTCAAAAAAATATAAACATGATATGGATTACGAGTAGATCGAATTCCTTTTCGAAGAGTAATAGGCCAAGCTTGATTTGAGTCAAGAGAGGACGAGGAGGATGAAGGATCCATGGTCTGGGTATCTGGTGGAGAGGCAGGAATAACTAAGGGATCACATGATGGTATTGGAAGCATCTCTTTAACAGATGAAGAATCTTGCTTAGAGGATGAGAAGAAGGGTGTATCCTCAAAAAATGTGACATCAACAGACATATAGTACCTTTTTCTTGAGGGAGAATAACATTTATGCCCTTTCCGAAGACGAGAATATCCCAAAAAGACACACTTAATAGCCTTTGGAGAAAGTTTATCTAGACCTGGAGAGACATTATGAACAAAAAAGGTACCCCCTAAAACACGAGGAGAGACATGATTAAAGGATCGTATGGAAAAATTATAGAGTGAGGAATCTTATTGTCAAGAGAAGAAGAAGGCATCCTATTTATCAAAAAACATGTAGTGAGGACTGCATCTCCCAGTGATGAATAGGAACATTAGTATTTAACATCAAGGAACGTGCAGTTTCAATGAGATGTCTATTCTTTCTCTCAGCTATATCATTTTGTTGTGGAGTATTAAGATGCATTAACTGATATAAGATTCCTTTGGAAGATAAAACAGATGAAAGCTTACAAGAAAAATATTCTTTGGCATTATCACTCCCGAGAATTTTAATTGTCTTTCCAAATTGGTTTAGAAATTCGTTAAAAGAGGACATACATATGTCTAAAAGTTCAGATCTCTCTTTCATTAAATAAACCCAAGTACATCGAGAGAACTCATCAATAAAGGTTACAAAATAGTTAAAACCAAAAGAAGTAACACAACAAGGTCCCCAAATTACATCGTGTCTCAAATGTCTAAACATGTTTTCCTAACTGACAAGACTCACAATCATGCAAATTGGGTGACCTAAACGATCATGCAAAAGTTTTGGAGATAAAGTTGAAAGATAGGAAACATAGGAGCTAGGCTTTAGGAAATAAAGTCCTCATGACACGTCCTCCAATAAGACGACTTGTTCCATGTTCCTTTATGACAAATGAATTAGGACTCAAAGTCAATTTAATGAACGAGTCAATTGACTCAAAGAGATTACTTAAAGAGTTGGGAGAGAAAACTGAAATTTTAATTATTACTGTCCACTTAACCCTAACACCCATACTACCCTATTTAAGGGATAGTAGATCAACATAAAAAAGAAAAACAGAAGGCTCCTAAAAAAGCCCACTCTAAAAGGCCCACTCTAAAATACATTACATTTCAACAAGATTAAATTATAGGGAGAATAAGGAATATACAGAACAAAATTAAATTTAGTGATGGAGACAAGGAAACTTTGCCAATTCCTTGAGATGCCACTTTGGATCCATTAGCAACTGTAATTAAATGAGGAATTTTCTGAGAAGAAGTAAAATGAAGGTAGGTTACCAGACAGATGATCTGAGGCACCTAAATCAAGTATCCCTGAAGTTTGACTTTCTACAGTTTGAGAGATGCATGCAGTTGAGGACGATTGATCAAGATCAGTAGATCTTTCAGATTTGTACCTTAAAAAATCTTGGTACTCTTCATTGGAGATTCTAGATTCTAAATTATCAGATTTAGACACCTGCACAGATTTAAACCATCTCTCTTGGGTATGGCCAATTTTCTTATAGTATGAGCATTCCAAACGCCCACTCCGACTACCACAACCTCCTCAATTACTTCTACATTTTCCTCTCCCTTGAGGCTTTACCATTGTTGAAGTCTCTAACATTAGTTGAATTCCTATCTTTTACCAACCTTGGTACACAACTAAATTATCCATTAACGGGATTTGATCACATGCTAAAACTTGATTACGTACATGATCAAAATCCGAGTGCAAACTTCTCTCTCAGAATTAGAACCATGTAATGTTTGAACCATGTAATGTTTGTCAAGTCTTTTGTTGATACATTTTAATGAATTAGCTTCAAAGAAAGTCTTTAACTCCTCTATATTGTGATTGACTTGTTTGAGAGAAGTTACTCTCTCAGTTGCATCAAAAGGCATTGTATATCATTAGCAAAAATATCTTGTGCCTCTTTCCAAAAAGCAAAACAAGTTTTGTAGGGTCTCAAAATATCTAGAACTTCTTTCTCAAGTGATTGTCACAACACAACACATAGCCCGAGACTTGCGGAGTGAAGCGGCGCATGCGGAGGCTAATGGGGCGGCAAGCACCAGGGTTGGGTCATGCTTCTCAAGGCGAACCTAACCCTTGACTTCACCGGAAGAAGGGTGAAAGTTGATGGCGAGGAGGGTTGCGACTGCGGAAAATAGTCTGGGTCTAGCTCTCGATACCATTTAAAGAGCTACTTAGAGTTAAGACATTTTATTCATTGATGGATTTATTACAATGTTTTTGTACTCTATAAATAGAGTACCGTGGTAGGTGGAAAACAATCCCAACCGTTAAAGTTAAGTTCACACACACACACAACAGTGGTATTAAACATAATACATTTCAACAAAAGGAAATAGAACATTAAGGTATTTAAACATATATTCATAAATAAAGGTGAAGTCGGCACAATCTGGCAATGGTTTCTAGAAGACTCTATCACTACTAGAACAAGGTTCAACTTCTAGGTGTTCAACAAATTCTTTAGCTCAATACTAAAACAAAAAACAAAATTCTTTATTGACAAGGTGGAGAGGAAGTCAAGAATAGCTAGCAATTTATATGGGACGGTTGTTCTCTAGTTTATTGAACAATCACAAATGGTGACATTTCTTCAATTTATATGGGACGGTGTTAGGGGTTGGAAGGTATAGGGGAGAAGGAGAAGACCGAAAAGTGGAAGGAGGAAGACCAAGTTGAACGGTGGATGATAGTAAGGAGTCGAGCCGAACGACCGAAGGCGGTGAGTTCTCAAGCAGAGCAATGGGGAGAGGGGAAGACCGTAGCCAATCGGTTGAAGAGTGACTATCTTAACTAGGACAACAGTTAGGATAGGCAGGAGATATTCAATACAATACAAGATAATTATAGTAATCAAAGCTATATCTAAAGAAATATTCAATACAAGTTAATTACAGTAATTAGAGTTATATTCCATTATTCAGTATAAGTTAATTATAGTAAATAGAATTATATTCTATTATTCAGTATAAGTTAATTATAGCAAATAGAATTATATTCTAGGGAAATATTTAATATAAATAAAGCCTAAACCCTATGGTGAAGGGCACGCTTTTGATTATTGAGTTTTGTAAAGGAAGTTATGCTCCCAAGTGACTCAAGGAAGTTATGCTCCCAATTATTGTTTGCTTTCTTTGATTCAGATATTTCTATCAATAAAGGAGATTCATTCATCCATTATCTATTGTTCATTGTTCTGTGCTAGTGAGAGTGTGTGAGGGTTCGTTCTGGTTACGTTTCCCACTCGGATATGCAACATACGGTTACACTTTCCTCAGCTTACGTTAAAAAGTAAAACTGAACAGGCCCTCCCTCATTTCATGTGTCAGTGTATCTAGCAGCGTGCATGGTGTGAAGAAAGAAGCACAAGATTCTTTCTAGACCTTATTCTGTTCCAATAAGTGTGTTCTCCATTTCTGTCTTTTAGCTCTCTCCCTTATATCTGTTTTATCCAATGCTAATGTTGATGTATGTTATGTTTCTTGAATCTCTTCTTTTATACTCTTGCATGTGTTCTTGTATATGAAACAGTGACAATATCTAATAACAAGAAACTCTTTTTGTTTGTTTGTTTTTATCTGTTTTGCTAATATTGATGCATGTTGATACTTCTGTTGATCTGTTTCATGTTTCCTGAATATGGGTCTTAGAAAAAAGAAAAGTGATTTTCTGAACATTCACAAAGCCATTGATATAAAAGAGAGAACTGTAAGAACAACAATACTAATTGTGGTTTGGAATGATTTGTATTTTTCTGTGTAAATTTTCTAGTAACTTATTTTAATAATATTATTGTTGCCAATGTTTTGTAAGAGAAAAATAGGAGAATGGATCCCAGAGGAAATACTGTGGAAGCCGAAGAAAAAAAAGATGGAGAAAAGACTATGTCTGCTACTGACGTAACTGCAGATCTCAGTTCTGAAAGTTGCAAAATTTATGTCAATGGAGTCGAAATTCGTCCATTGAGAAAAAGATTGATTATTTTGGACATAAACGGCTTGTTAGCTGACGTGGTTTCTCCTCCTCCGGAGGATCACGAGGCTGATGTAACAATCGAAGGAAGGGCAAGTAAGAATTATTTTGTTCTTTGTTTTTATAAAACCAGATTATTCTTATGTTAATTTTGATTAGATTTGAATTTGATTTCAGTATTTAAGAGGCCTTTCTATCTGGATTTTTTGAAGTTTTGCTTAAAAAATTTTGAGGTTGGCTTGTGGTCTTCGAGATTGGAGTACTCTTCTAACTACCTTTGTCTAATTTTCTATTTTTGTGTATTCATTTCTTTTTCTGATAGAATTCTGAACTGTGCTCTTGTTTTTGGATGTTTTGTGGTTAGCAATTAGCTTTTAGCACAAAAATTTATGTTGCTTATTATCACAGGAAATTTGTTGGTCGGGATATTGACTATTTGATTCCACCCTTCTTCAAAAACAAATTGGTTTTCTGTTGGGTAAGTATTTGGTGAAAACTGTTCACTGTCGGTCTTTGTTCATCTTTTATTTCATTTTAGTGAACTCAAGTGAACTCTTAAAAACAATAATTTAGAGATGAAAGGTTTGAAAAAATCATGTTAGAAATTAACAATGGAGGATTTGCATTAACTCATAACTCTGCTATAGAAACTACAATCTTCATGAAATTGATGACAACGGCCACAATCTACCTACTGATTCCTTTTCACTCTTATTTTTTGCACTTCTGATTCTGCATTTTCTTGGTTTCTGATATACAGGATGGTTCTTATTGCACTCAATTCTGGATTTATGAGCAGGGAAAGAAGAGTGTTGTCTATTCGAAGGATTTGAGGAAACTATGGCAGAAGGATGATCCTAATCTTCCCTGGAATAAATTGTATTACAATGAATCAAATACTCTGATGTTGGATGTTTGTCCTTATAGGGGAAGGTTGAATCCGGTAAACAATTTTAACTCTACAACTTCTCAGCATTTTATATAACCTAATTACTACATTTTCTAACCTTCTGTTTTAAATTTTTTATTGTTTATTCAGCGAACCACCTCAGTTTACCCTCCTACATTCAATTATCATAATAAAAACGACAACTCTTTAGGTAAAAATCTTTCATGTGATCTACTTGTATACATTTGAGTAATGAACACATATTTTATCTAAGTAACTTCTTGCTTGAGTCTTTGTCCTGAAATGATAGAAAGGAAAAACAGTATAGTTTTGTAATATGGTAGGAGAATGTTAAGTCAATTTTTTCTGATATTTTATATTTTAAAAGAGTCATTTGTTGACACACAATAATCTTGACATTTAGTGTCCTATAATTCATGACAGCTGAAGGAGGAGAACTGAGAGCATTTCTAGAAGGCTTGACAAAAGCTGAAGATATGAGAAAGTATGTTAAGGAACACCCATTTGGCCAAACCATTAGTAATGAAAATAGTGGTCGGATCACACGCAGTAGTAGATATATTCTTGAATATCGGAAGGATTAAACTTTTTTTACGTCTGAGATGTCTTTGGAAGAGATCCTGGTTGAAGAAAGCAAAAATGAAGGTATGTCTGAAGTGTATTTGGAAGATATCCTGGGCACTGGATTGGTTTAAACAGAAAATAAGACAGAAAGGTCATGTTTTTTGTCCTCAAACAGTTTTGCTGTTTTGATTTGAACATTGATGAAGGTTTTGATTTAGATTACACGTGTTACAAAACTTTAGTTATCATGGAATTTGAACGTTGTTTTTTTCATGTATAGTGACTGAGATGTCCTTTTGGAAAATACTATTGGAATTTATCGACTGTTCAAACATATTATGATTTATATACTTTTCTTTAAAAGACAGCTTTATTTAGTTTGGATTGCTTTTCTGTTATTTGGAAAGTGAAATTTTTTAAGTGATTTCTTTTTAATTATTTTAAAGTACAAAACAAACTTATCTCATTCTGTTATAGATTGATAGAGAGGTTTTAGCTGCACTTGCACAATTTCAGCCTATATCCCATAATTTTTCATAATTTGTACATGTTTTTTTTATTTTGTATTTTAAAATTTTCAAAATATAATTTTTGTATTTTAAAATCTGAAATATAATTTAAAATATATATTTTATTTTGTATTTCAAAATAAATAATCCATTTCAACCAAGGGAGTTCAACAAATGCCCTATATTAAGATGAAACTTTAAGATGAAACATAGTAAATATTGAATTACATAAGAGTTTGAATACGAAAACCTCATACACACACACACACACACACATATATATATATATATATATATATATATATATAAGTCCAAATATCACATAAATGATAAGTTCAAGCAAAAGCATAGAAATAACTAGTTTAAGAAACTTAGTCATCAACTAAGTTTTCATTAATTACATCTTTATTTATGTTAAACTTTGAAGTATCTAGGCTAAGAGCAAAGCATGAAGCTTGCCGAATAACTTTCTTAATGCCCATGACATATCCCTCCAAAGCTTGGGCGGTGAAGCCAATGCATTGTGTGTTTAAGTTTGCCCCAACCTTATTTCTTTCTTGGCCTTCTTCAGCTCTAGCTTAAGACTTTCCACAAGGTCCTTAAACTCCTTTCTATTTTTCTCCATTGCCTTTATAGCGTTGCTAGCCATGCCTAATTCAACTTCCAAAATTTTAATTTAACCAAGACTCTAAGCAATTTCCAGATCCTAGGAACAAATTGGTTGGTTCTCAACATGCTCTTTGAGAAGGGTTTGTTCCTTCTTCAATAGTTTGGTGTGCTTGATCCTCCATACCTCGACACACTCCGTGCATCTTAATGTGCCACAAAGAGTTGGATTGTGTTGCATATGTTGAAACATTGTCGACCTGGGATAGAGGTCCCTTTTTGCTACCTCAGTATTTGAAACATTGTTAATCTTAAATTGTCTTTCTTAATAAATAGAAAACCTCGGTGTATGGTTAATGGATGAAAATATGTTTATCTTTGTAAAATTTGACACATCTCGATTTGAAAGAATGATTCTTAAACCCTTTATAGAGTTGGATATACACAGTAAAAAGAGACCCATGTTGAGCGCTGTTAAGGGTTTCAAAGGTCTTTTTAAAATGCCTCAACTATTTGGATGGAATTGGTTGGATGCTAGAAAAAGATTTGTTGGAATTAAAGTTAGGGCCAACTATCCAAAATAACGAGATACAGGAAATGCAAGAGCAGTGAGATGGCAAAGAGATAGAAGAGGGTGATGAGGAAAACTCAAAGGACTCGCAGAACTGAGCACGACACCAACATAGATCTGTTGGTGTTGTTGGAGAACGCAACATAAACCCCAAAACAGACAAAAATTTGACAGAAAATTAGTGAACCGCTGCAAGTGTTACTAAGGTGTGTTCTGCATAAATCCTGATCTAGAAATCAATATAGTTTTTTTTTTCTTGATTTCACCCGAGCCTAACAAAAATCGATTCTGCATGCGAGATCACTAGATCCGAGGGTGTGGGATAGAAAAATCGTCTTAGGATGTTTGAAAATGAGGAGAATATTTATGATGCTGAATAAAAAAAATCCCCAGAGTAGAGTAAGGGTGGGATGCAGAGAGACCAGAATTTGAGGTAACAATTATTACTTTCATTTGGTCCATTTTACAGTCAATTAACTTGAAGTTATGGCTTTAACCACCCATAGTTCTACATCGTCATCATTGGTCTGAACAGAACGTTGTAACATTCAATGATGCTAGGAAGAACACAAATAGAAACATAGAAGCCCAATATAATTTTACCTGTAGTGTTCACCTAATAAGTTTCTTTGGAATTGGGCAAGAACCGTCCTAGCTAAGATCCACCCATGAGACCCGCCTTATTTTGGAAATGCGTTCTTGGTGTAGAAGACCTAAAACATCAAATAATTGTCATAGTAAATTAAGGGAACACAGCACTACACACTATTGATAAATATTAATAACTTATGAACTGTGTTTATCATAGCTTTTCAACTATGTGAAATTGGCAGCATGATAGTCTAAGTATGTATCTAGCCTCTGGTTTAGAAAAATCATAAGAAGCTGATATAGTGGAGCATATCTTTCATCCTTCCCCAGTTGCCCAAGTGCAAGCATGTCCATTAAATTTCAGAACTTATAGCTATCTAGGGCAAATTTTTTATTAAAATCTGTGGGCGTACAATAATTAATAATGATGACGGGATAATAGGAAGCAACTCAAAGACAAACAGAAGTTCTATTTAATGATGACCTATAACAAGAAGAAGGCATCCTTTATAGTACTGTTTGATACCTCTATGTCTAATTATATCAGGTTAATTTTTATTATGACGATAATTGAGTATCACCCTTTTAACAAGGAAATAATGTCCATTATCTATAAATTACCTGAGAAAAACAATAGCCACAGCCCAGGCCCAGCCCAAATGGAGTGAGACCCAACTTCTGAAGCTAACCAACCTGAATGCCATCCTCTCATCACATTCACATGCGATTATGTTTATCTCACTCTCACCATGCTGTCTTTTCGTTTGTTTCCCTTGCTCTGAAACTGTTAATTTTGTTCCAATGTCAATTCTCTAGAAGCCATACACTAATGCACACTAGGCACAAAATGGGACATGAAATTCTGGGTAGTTCAGTCATCAGTGATAACATCAATTTATGTTTCATAATTTGATTTTGTTGCTGGAGCTGTAGCTTGTGGACTCTTTTTTCTTATTTTTGTTAAGAGTTTGTTTCAGGAACGGAAAAGTTTCAGAGTATAAATTCTGGGTAGTTTAGACATTACTGACAAAATCGGTTTATGTTTCAAAATTTGATCTTGTCTAGGTATAGCTTGTGCACTCTTTTTTCTTAGGGATTGCTGTTTGTGGACTCTTTTTTCTTATTTCTATTTGGAATTTCAGAGGGGAAAAGTTCCAGACTATAAATTCTTGGTAGTTTAGTCATCAATCATAACCTCAGTTTGTTTTTCAAAATTTCATCTGGTTGTAGATATTGTTGCTTGCGGACACTCTTTGCTATTTTTATTTGGAATTTAGTTCATGAATAGGAAAGTTTCAGACTGTAAATTCTGAGTGGTTTAGTCGTTAGTGATGTTAGACCACAGGGATGCAAATGTTCTGAGTATTTGACATCGTCTATTAACAAAATTTTCATGCACTTCTCTCCCTCCCTCTTTTGTGCATTTCTCATATGTCAATAATTTCATTCAGGATTATAGTGCTCTTTCAATTAGGAAAGACATTATAAACAAGGTATAACATATATTTATAATTTGATCAATATCATATTATATTAATCAAGGTATAACTTTCACACAACATTCTGCTAGTAAGTTCCTATATATAGAAGAGCAGAGGTAGGCATTTATATCCAATAAGACCTCCTTACTATTCAGCATACAATAACATTTAGAATAATTACCATCCCTAAAATATAGCCATTCACTCATAACATGGCTTTGTGGCTGGTGCAGGTGTCTTGGCGGCAGGTCCATTCTCTGGTGGGTCAATGAACCCTGCATATGCTTTTGGCTCTGCAACCATTGCAGGCTCTTTCAGAAACCAAGCAGTGTATTGTGTTTACACTTTCTGAATGTTGTTTATCGTATAAGGAAGGATGTTATCAGGCCTTGTGTTCATAAAACTGCTTCTTGGTTTTAGGTACCAACACATGGGACAGATTTGAACTTACAGTGATTATTTATTTTGTTCTGTCAGTGTCTGTTTTAGATTTTTTTTCCAAAACTATAGTTCAGTTCAGTTTATACTATAGTTAAGTGCAATTTAGAGATGTTTAGTTTAGTATAGTTTAATAGAGTAAAATATAGTTCAGTTCATCGGAACTATTTTTAAGTTCAGTTCAAGCCAATTAATTTTTAATTTAGTGCAGTTTTTTAGGAGAGGAGAGGGGAGGAATGAAGGGGTTACTGAAACTCTTCGGAGGTTTCGAGGTTGAGTTCAAGAGGCTGTAAAGGGGGAAGGAGCACGAGTAATGTGGTTAGAGAGCTAAGAGTTTAGAAGCAGGGGATGGAGGTTGGAGAAGATAGCAAAGACTTCAGAGTGCGAAATGGAAAGCGCAACGGTGGTTGCAAGGCCGAAAACAGGTATGGGAAGTTAATGTAAAACTGTGATTGTTTTACTGTTGAATGTGTGTGAATGATGGAACATGTTCTTGTTGGGTCTTTTGAATATGTGAACGTGACACGCTATTTTGAATGCAATATGGCTGCTCTATTTTACATTTCTTTTTTATACTAAAGGGAAAATTGAAATGCCATGCTACCTTGACTGTGTTCATGATGCCTTATCAATTTCTTGATGGTTGATTACATTCAAGGGTATTTCAAACTTGATTGTGATAATTATCTGACTATATGACCTGATGGGAACTTGTTGCTCTGTTTTGAGTGTGCTGGTAATTGTTGTGATATGGTGAGATTGTTATTTCACACTTTGATTAGCTACATTTTTATAGTTTGACAATTGTCGATACGATTGTGGTGTGTTATATGGTGTTGTAATTGGTGTGTTATCTAATGCTACGATTCTGCCCAGTATTGGATGCAATATGTGCTAATTTAGTCTGGAATGCGTATGTCAATTTTAGTAAATGATAAAGGAGTGAAGTAAGTAAGTGAGATGTAGATAATTTATAATTTGCTTCTTTTCAATACGTGACGTTGTTGCATTGAATCTATCATATTAAGTATTTTTGTTTATTACAATTGGTTGTGGTATGAATTGATGCTTAGTGGGAATGAGGCGCTTTAGTATTTCTAAAGTCATCTCTGAGTTGTAAAGCAAAGTTCTGACTGTGAAACTGATTTACATCTATGCATATTGTGTTGTATTTGTTGATTGACTGGTATTTGGAATGCTTGATTTTATGTGTGAGCTTACAATAGGTAATATAAACGTGGGATTGGGTTTTGTTTGCTATACCAGGTGATGGCAAAGGCAGGTTTAGTTCATCTTGATAGTTAGAATAACTCTGATACAAGACCTAAAAAGAAGAATGCACATTTGAATCTAATTAGTAGGGGTAGAAGTGAAATTGATGCATGTTAAAGTAGAGTATTTATTTATTCAAACATGTACCCATGCTCCCTCCTTTATTGAGCCATAACAAAACTTATCACTTGTCACACTTAAGTACACAGAAGTTATCGGTTCATAAATATTTTAAGCACAAAGAAGGGTACAAGTATCAGTCAATATGCGTTTCATCCAAACTTATGCAATCACTTGAGTTGAACAAAAAATTCTTGAGTCTACCTTTCCTTTGCTTAAAAATAAATCAATTCCGATGTTTCCAAACTTTCCCAACAGTTGCTATCACATACCCTCCGAATAATATTTTGCTTACGATTAAAATTAAAGAAGATTAAGATTAAAGAAGTAGAAATGTTTAAAGTTAGCCTTATCATATAATTAGTAATTGTATTATAGTTACAACTCTACTTGTTTGCAACATTTATTTGTAATATTAAAAAATGTAAGAAAATATGTATTTAATCTATAAATTTAAAATAATGTAATTATTTAATTTGTTCCGTTACTTATAATTATGTAAAATATTACAGGAATATATATATATATATATATATATATATATATATATATATATATATATATATATATATATATATATATATATATATATATATATATATATAAATATATGATTAAGGCTAGTTTTTAAGTTAATATTTATATAACCTTTATTGACATTAGAAAGAATGTTTATATTATCATTTAATTATAAAAAATTATTAATATAATATTTATTACAAGTTTTTGTAAAATCTTAATTTTATAGATTTACATTACTAATTGAACCATTACCATTTAAGTATTAAGCAAACCTGGTCATAAGAATGGAAGAAATATACACAAGCATACTAATATGGCGTAGTTACAATCCTTTCAATCTTTAAAATTTCTTAAAAAAAATACATAAGTCACTTAACCTTTTATATAATATAAAAAAAATCAAGGAACTACACCTTATATCTATGTACATCGCTCCAAAACATGAGATTTCAAACACAACCCTTAGCCTTTTAACTAAAATCACCTGTAATTTCATTTACTCATCATATAAGCAATCATTGCAAAAAGGAGACACAAACAACAAAAAAGGGTAAATTAATGATAACTTAAGAATATGTAAACATTTATGGCATAAAGATTTATAACAAATACTTAAACAACCAAATTATCCAACACACCAATCCACACATCATGACGCAAATTATCCAACACAATAGTCCACACATCATACCAATACTTAAACAACTAAATTATTCATATAAATAACTTAAGCTCAATTATCCAAATTTATGCATCATTCAGACTCTGAAAGTTTTGTTTTGTTATGTAAAATGAAATTCTCAGAGTTACAATTTCAATAACGATATTTGGTCCTCCCCTCTCATGACAAATTGAGTTCATTTATAGTCTAAAAGAAATAGAATTCACGACTCCAAGACTAGCTATACAAACTTCTTGCCCTCTTCACCACCTAGACTCCCTTTTTATAAACATATATTCATAAATAAAGGTGAAGTCGGCACAATCCGACAAGGGTTTCTAGAAGACTCTATCACTACTAGAACAAGGTTTAACTTCTAGGTATTCAACAGATTCTTCAGCACAAATACTAAAATAAAAAGCAAAATTCTTTATTGACAAGGTGGAGAGGAAGTCAAGAATAGCTAGCAATTTATACGGGACGGTTGTTCTCCAGGTTATTGAATAGTCACAGTTGGTGACATTTCTTCAATTTATATGGGATGATTATGCTTTCCTGAGCTAGCAGCGTGCATGGTGTAAAGAAAGAAGCACAAGAATCTTTCTAGACCTTATTCTGTTCCGATAGTTGTGTTCTCCATTTCTGTCTTTTAACTCACTCTCTTTTATCTGTTTTATCCAATGCTAATGTTGATGTATGTTATGTTTCTTGAATCACTTCTTTTATACTCTTGCATGTGAAACAGTAACAATATCTAATAACAACAAACTTTGTTTGTTTGTTTTTATCTGTTCTTGATTAGCATTTTTATCTGTTTTGCTAATGTTGGTTCATGTTGATTCTTTTGTTGATCTGTTTCATGTTTCCTGAATATGGATCTTAGAAAAAAAAAGTAATTTTCTGAACATTCATAAAGCCATTGATATAAAAGAGAGGGAACTGTAAAAATAACAATACTAATTGTGGTTTGGAATGATTTGTATTTTTCTCTGTAAATTTCTAGTAACTTATTTTAATAATATTATTGTTGCCTAGTAAGAGAAAAATAGCAGAATGGATCTCAAAGGAAATACCGTGAGTACTGAGAAAACTGAGGAAGCCGAAGAAAAAAAGATGAAGAAAAGACTGGCTGCTACTGACGTAATTCTAGATCTCAGTGCAGAAATTTACAAATTTATGTGAATGGAATTGAAATTCGTCTTTTGAAGAAAAGACTAATTATTTTAGATATAAATGGATTGTTAGCTGATGTAGTTTCTTTTTGTTTTTATGAATTCAGTGTATTTTTATGCTAATTTTGACTAGGTTTGAATTTGATTTCAGTATTCAAGAGACCATTTTATCTTGATATTCTGAAGTTTTGCTTCGAAAATTTTGAAGTTGACATATGGTCTTCAAGACTGGAATACTCTTTATGCAAAAGGTATGCCGATTTCAAAATTTTCGAAATCGAAACTTTAGAAAATCAAGATAAAAGGTCTCTTGAATACTAAAATCAAATTCAAACCTAATCAAAATTAGCATAAGAATAAACCAGATTCATAAAAACAAAGAACAAAACAATTCTTACTTGTCTTTCCTTCAATTATATCAGCCTCGTGATCTTCCGGAGGAGGAGAAACTACATCAGCTAACAACCCATTTATGTCCAGAATAATTAGTTTTTTTTTTAATGGACGAATTTCAAATTCCATTCACATAAATTTTGGAAATTTCTGCATTGAGATATGCAATTATGTTAGAACTCAAACTGTGTAACAAGTGTAGCGGGAACAGAAAGGTCAACTGAAGATACAACTCACCAAAGACACTTGACAACAAATCCCACTAATCAGTGATTAAGGAGGGGTACAAGAAACAAAATAACTAACTCTAGGATGGAGGATTTTTATTGGTCTAAAGGTCTAGTCTTTGTATTCTTTTAGTTAAGCAAAAGAGGGGGAATTGATTTCTGTTTTGCTTTCTCTTTCGGTTGGGTCACTTTGTTTTTCTTACATCATTTGCTCTGTACAGCTATGGAAATGGCTCATAACACTCTTATGTTTTATGAGCATTAAATTTTAATACCACTGAGAGAAGTTTCTTTTATCCTCACTTATTAATTCCTTTTTGGTGTGGTTGAAAATTTCCTAGTACATTGGTATTGTTAGATTGTTGTTTTCATTGTCATGCTTGAGAATACTCACCTTAAAGAACTGACTCTTGATGTAAAGAGAATCCTAAAAGTAATGGAGACATGGGATAGAGAACATGACACTAGATTTGAGACCCTGGAGTCTGTCGTTGATACAATGTTGTAGCATAAATCCGCAAACCCTTTCCCACCATTTCATGTGTGTAATGTAAGCTTAATTTTCTTTCCTTTGATGGGTTCGATGTCTTGCAATGGATCTTACAGGCAGAGCAATTTTTTTTGTATTACAATACTCCGGACGATCATCATTAACTATTGTTGCCATACATTTGGACAAGGATGTGGTTCCTTGGTATTAAATGATGACTCGCCATGATTCATTTCATTCATGGGTTGCGTTTACTCGAGCCTTAGAATTGGAGTTTGGTGCCTCTCCCTTAGAGTGTTCCCAGTCTCATCTGTTTAAATTAACACAAACAACTTTTGTGCATGATTATTATGTTTAATTCATTGCACCACTGGCTAATCATGTGCAAGGTATCACCACTGAAGCTTTATTAGATTGTTTTATCGAAGGCTTAAAACGGGATATTTGAAGGGATGTGATTGCTCAATCGCCCTCAACTTTGATTCGCTCTGTTTCCTTGGCCATATGAAGAGAAATACCTTTCCAAACCCAAACATTATCAACTCTACCCAACAGCCAAAACACAAGCCACAAACACTAGTCTACCTATAAGCCAAACCATTAAATCCACTAGTTTACATGTAATCCCCTCCTTCTTAATCCTACTATAGCTCCATCCACCACCACCATCAGAAATACCAATATTGAGAGAATAAGCCTAACAAAGATGCAACTTAAGAGAGAAAAAGGCCTTTACTATACGTGTGATAAAAAATTTTCTCCAAGCCATCGGTGCCCCCAACAAACAATATTTACTTCTCCATTTACAAGATGAGGATTATGGAGAATTACCACCAGAACCTTCAAACCTTGAGCATAGCGTTGAATTACATCTGTCCCAAGAGCATCATTTATCTTATAATGCTTTAAAAGGAACCTCTACTTTGAGTACAATGAAATTTCAGGGGTCTGTCAATGGCATAACAGTACAAGTGTTATTTATTAGACAGTGACTCGAGTGATAATTTTTTGCATCCACGAATAGCTAATTGTTTGAAGTTTTCTATTGAGCCAATTCCAAATTTTCAAGTTTTGGTGGGAAATGACAATGCCTTATTTCCTGAGTGGTTGGTCAAGGAATTAGAAGTCAAAATTCAGGGTCATTCATTGACCTTGCCAATATATTTATTACCTGTTACTGGGACTGACTTAGTTTTGGAGTCTGCAGGTTAGCTACCCTTGGTCCCAACATTTCAGATTATAGTTCTTTTACATTGAAGTTTTACCTAGGAAACCAATTTGTCACATTGCATAAAGAGCAACCAACCTTACCTATGCAAGCTTTGTATAATCATCTCAGAAGAATGAATCACACATATGCCATAACTGAGCTTTTCACATTATAATTCCAACAGTTGGACTGTTCTCAAGACCAATAGTTAGACTTATTGATATCAGATGGTGGTGGTGTTGCATACCTATAGGGTGATGTTTTTTGTTCCTTTTGGGTTGCCTTCTAGTCGGTCACAAAGTGATTTTATTCCTTTATTCCAAAGATATTCGTCCTTTTCAATCTAAATGAGGTTGAGGCTAAAAAAACACTTTGATGTTTAAGTCAGTCAAGTGCGCTAGATGATAATAAATATTACGTTAGATGATAATAAATATTATAATTAATAAACGTCTTAATATAAGTTATGAATTTTTTTAACCGAAGGAGCATCATCCACATAGCTTATTAATTACCTTGGTTATTTTTTTAGATTAATAATTATGCTAATCATACATTAATCATGGTTTTAGATTAAACAACTTAATACACAATTTCTTCTGAAATTATTTTTACTTATATATAAGCGACTATGCCGTTATGATGAAAGTTCATATTATTAAGACCGAATACATATAACACATAAGTTTGATATATTCAAGGAGATATATAATAAGGGAACCAATATTAACCTTTGTAAATTTTATGCTAAAGACAAAGTTTAATTTACTTAAAACAGTTCATTTATTTATTTACATATATGATTTTAGTTTCAGCAGTATATTTGCAGTAATAAAAACATATTATACTTTACACAATTAAAGACTTTTTTTCTTCCAAAAATATGTGACTATTGTTTCATTCACTCTCATAATTGCTAAATGTACCTTCACAATAATAGAAAATAAAAACTCAAGCTCTTTTTAGTACAGCACCACACCACTGAAGCTGCAGAGAAAGAAGAAGAGGGGGAAGAAGGGAAGAACGCTCAAGAACAGAAAGAGAATGCGAAAAGAAGTACTTAATTCGGAAAGCTTTGAAAATTGTATTCTAAATGTTTTGAAAAGATTTTTTCTGAAATATATTTTATGTAAGGATATTCTGAAAAAATATTATATATGTTTTAGAAATTCTATTTTGAAAAATCTTTTCCATAATATATTTCATTCGTTCTATATATTTAATTCTAGAAATTTTGTTTTAAAAATTTAATTCCATAAAGTTTATCCCGTAAATCTTGTTTAAAAAATCTTATTTTGAAAATTTTAGAAATCTGTTCCAGAAAGATTAATCTTTTCAATAGAAAAAAATCATTTTAAAAGTTTTTGGAGGTGCGCAAATAAATTGTGGAGATGCAGGAAGTAAAAGTGGATAATGTTCATGTAACATAGGCCCAAACATTTATATTATTGGCCACCGTCATTGGAACGCAACCTTCACTATATTTATTATTACTATTGGAGGAACACATTATTATTATTTTTTTCGGCCCAAACATTTGTATAATTGGCTACCGTCGCATTCTTCTTCCGAACCATGGCAGAACCATCCACCGCCGCCGCCACCACCACCGCGGTGGACCCTCAGCCGCCAGTTACCAAAAGATGGGCTGACGAAGCGGACGAAGAAACCGAAGCCTCCTCCACCGCCACCGCCACTGAAGCATCTTCCGTCAACCTCGATTCATTAAAAATCGAAGACAACGATAAGAACCCTCCCAAACTCTTGGATGACCCCGACGATTCTAGCATCCAAAAGGTTCGTTTTATTCGCAACACAACACTTCTCTCTTTCTTGTTCTCTCTGTTTACAGTAGGTTAGGGTTTTGAATTGAATGTCAGGGTTTTGTAATGTGGTCAGGTTACCTCTGGAGAAACGCCGTACACGTCGGCTGCGAAGTTCGAGGACTTAAACCTCTCGCCGGAGCTTCTGAAAGGGCTCTACGTGGAGATGAAGTTCAAGAAGCCGAGCAAGATCCAGGCGATAAGTTTGCCGATGATCCTCAACCCGCCGCACCGCGACCTCATCGCGCAGGCGCACAACGGGTCTGGGAAGACCACGTGCTTCGTGCTTGGGATGCTCAGCCGCGTCGATCCCAAGGTGCAGGCGCCGCAGGCTCTCTGTGTCTGCCCTACTCGGGAGTTGGCTAATCAGAACATCGAGGTTCTCCGCAAGATGGGGAAGTACACCGGGATTGCGTCGGAATGCGCTGTGCCGACGGATAGCAATGCGCTCTCGATCGCGAAAAGGGCGCCGATTATGGCGCAGGTGGTGATCGGAACCCCTGGCACCATCAAGAAGTGGATGAGCTTCAAGAAACTTGGGGCCGCCAGGTTGAAGATTCTTGTTTTTGACGAGGCAGATCAAATGCTTGCGGAGGTAATTTTATTGCGTTGCCCACTTGACTGAACTTGTTATTACCGTGCTTTATAGGAGGATTGGTTAGGCTAGACACAAGAGAACAGTAGTAGTAGTAGTAGTAGTAGAAAACCACATTTCTTGACCATTTATTTGTGAGTTTAATTTTGATACAGCTTTACCGTCACCTAGGTAGAAATCACTCTGGATATGTCTTTTAAGTAATTATCTGGTGAGTTAGTAATCTTACCATGCATAACAATTCATGATTGCATAACCCGTATATTATCAAGACAATATTTATGCAGACACCCTAGCACATACATTTTGGTAACTTCAAAGCTGTTTGATAGCTGCTATAGGGATGCCAGTTTTGTTATAATTATAATGCACCTTGTGGGTTGTAATGTTCTACACATGGGAGCAGGTCCTTTGGGCTGGATTGTGCGTAGGATTACAGTTGACCAGGATCGGGAGAATGATGTGATCTTTCATGTGCTAATAGTGGGATTTACAAAATCTAGCAAGTCAAGGTGCCCGAAAATTCTGGGACGGGCCCCTTTGATTTCCAATTCCAGTAAAAAAACCCTAGAATTCTTTCAACCCCAATGGTAAAACACTTCTTAGTTATGTCTCTGTTTGAATGAGACCCTTGTTCCATACTGACACATAAGTTCTAGATCTTTTGCAACTGTTGGAGTGTCCATGCTGCACTACAATTGCAGCTTTGGCCCTGCTGGGTGTATCTCTCTTGCGAACTGAGCTTCAGCAAACAGAATTGAAAGTCAATTGGTCCTTCTTTCCCAAGGTTTCTCTCATCTGATTGCGAATGGAACTTCTTTTATATTAATTTCTTTTCTTGTCTCTTCATCAATTTGCGTAGTGTTTTTAAATGGACCCAAGTGTGGGTGGTGTTGTGTGTGTGTAAAAATGTTCAAAGATTGTTGTGGACTTTAAAAACGATTATAATATATATATATAATTATGATATTTTTTACTGGACCTAAGTGTTTTTCTCCTTTAATTGCTCATAATCATAATAATATAGATTCTGTTAATTTGAAGATATTATTGTCATCATGATTTTTTTTATTTACGTTTGTTATATGTGGGTGTTTTGTCTGAGGAAGTGGTTTTGCAAGTATTTGCTTTATATATGTTCTTTTTAATACAAATGCATGTATATTGTGTTTATATTATGGTATATAATGTTCATTTTAGGTAGGAATATAGAATCTTGAAATCCTTGAGTACAAGCTTTCACCCTGTCTCCAACCTTGGTAGAATCTTGAGTTTAATAGTATTGAGCGGTGCTGCTGTGACTGTGTTGCTGAATTATAACTTTTGTGGCCAGGATTGTTGCCACTGTTTCAATATGAGATTGGGGATCTTCCCTCTTGACTGTATGAGTTGATTTTATGTTACTATGCCAATATTTATGCAGCTTATTTTTAGTTGCATACAAATAAAATTTTATACATATGATTCATGTATATTTCAACTGCTCTTTGACTACTGCATTTTGCCCATCATACATTGTCCCAAATATCATAAAGTTGATTTTTGGCCTGCCTCCATTTTTCTTGATCCGTATTCTATTGTGAACTGTTCATGGCTGTATCGTTCTTCCTGGAATTGTTACTGCATTTTATTGAAGAATTACCTAGTGAAACTGCTAAAGCTATCTTTAAAATGGTTTGGTGCTGTAATTGTGTTGCAGGGGAGATTGTCAGTTTGTCATGGATATAGAGGAATAGAGAACTAGTAGTAGTGAACCATTTGATTTTACGATTTATTATTTATAGTTTATAAATGTGCATGCCAGAGGATTGAGCATTACACAGTTTTAGGTTCGGGAATGTCATGCTACATGTTCATTTGTCTTATTTTTAATAGAAATTTGCTGGTAAATATTCCATGTCTTGATTGTTATTAACTTCAATGTTGCAGGATGGATTTAAAGATGATTCCCTGAGGATAATGAAAGAAATAGAAAAAGTCAATTCTAATTGTCAGGTTGGTTGAATTCTCTCTCACGTTGTTCTTCCATGGATCATGATATCTCTCCATTCTCCATCTGCACAAGAAATTATTTCATAGATTTGTCTACGTGACTGAGATATATGCTCCAATTAGACTCAGCCATATATTTTACATTGAAACATGTGCTGCAGTGGGTGAAATTGATTTTTTATAGTAAACCAAATGGAAGCTAAGTAAGGCATAATAATTTTTTTCTTGATGCAATTACTTTTCAAGTGATGTGTTAGTTTCTCTGATTCGTTAGTTCTTCAACTTGGTGGTAAATTTCTGCACCATATAGTGACTGGTGATTGCATTGCATGCAGAGCTAAGTGTAGAGACATGATACGTAGTTATAGTCACCTATTCTTCAGCATATCTTTTCGTTAGTTCATGCAAAACTAAATCACTTTGAGCCCTCTTATAACGTGTGAAAGATATGAAGTTAACCATCCATTTCATATTACGAGAAGAGAAAACAGTCTAGTGAAATATACTTGTTCAGTCAAACAACATACACATGGATATAAAGATTACATCTTTTTTGGTTGATATTAATGGATTGATACTAGTCAATTTGTATTTGCACAATTTGGAGCCACATAACTATGGATCTGCCATTTGGAATAAAAGGCTTTCTGCAGTGAGGTTTTTTTTTATCTAGAAAATTGATTGGTCTTGTGTGTACCTCCAGGTTCTTCTGTTTTCTGCTACATTTAATGACACCGTCAAGAATTTCGTTTCAAGGACAGTCAAAGAGGATCATAATAAACTTTTTGTAAAGAAAGAAGAACTATCTTTAGATGCAGTGAAGCAATATAAAGTCTACTGTTCTGATGAACTTGCGAAGATTGAAGTGATAAAAGATTACATATTTGAAATAGGAGAGAATGTGGGGCAAACCATCATATTTGTGCGTACAAGAAATAGTGCACAAATGTTGCATAAATCACTTGTTGACATGGGCTACGAGGTTACATCTATACAAGGTGCTCTTGGTCATGACGAGAGAGAGAAAATTGTTAAGGAGTTCAGAGATGGTGTTGACTCCAGTTCTTATTTCAACTGATCTTCTAGCTCGTGGCTTTGATCAGCAAACAGTACTGTGTTGGTCCTCTCTCCACTCTTCTCTTTTTGTCTGTCCTTTTATCTTTTAAATGTGGTTACATCCTAACTATTTATATTTATTTAGGTTAATTTGGTCACAATTGAGACTTCCATGAAACACGTTAGAGATTGGAAAGGGAAGTTGATGAGAGGAGAAGGGGGAAGAATAATACCTAACTGTTAAACAGTTAGGAGAGGATGGGTAGAAGGGCATATATAAGAACCCTTATTGTTTGTTTCAGGGGGAGTTAGACTCTTTGTTAGTTGTATACCGGTCTTGCACCTGGTGAAGGAGGTTAAGCTCCTTGGTTCTTCTACAGTGTATTCTTGATTTTTGCTGTGATACTCATACCATCTTTGCAATTTCTGATTGTTGCGATTACTTACGTGAGTAGAGAGAGGGTGAGAGTTAGGGGTCTTACTTGGATTCCTAACAAAGTGGTCCAACCTGCCGGATCCGCTTGGGAGGGGACTGCTAGGTCAAGTAGGGATCAAGAAGTGATCAAGAAAGGGTGGAGGCATGGAAGGAAGAAATGATACCTTGGAGAGGAGGACCAGCGAACTGAGAATGAACATGGCAGCAATACGCCAAGATTATGCAGAAATACGCCAAGATTTGCAAGAAATTATGAAAATGTTGAGTGGGCGAACCAGCAACCAGCAGGGCCAACAGTCGGACGGCAGCCAAGCCTCTGTCAACGAGAACAAAAGGAGGCAAGAGGAGGAAGTGGGAGAGGCAGGGGGTGAACGCCATGAAGGGCAACCCAGTTGGAGGACAACGGTAGAATTACCCACTTTCGAAGGGTTTGATCCTATGGGATGGATTGCTAGGGTGGAGACAGTTTTTGAGAACCAGGGGGTGATAGAGGAAGAAAAAGTGCGCCGGACTACAGTAGCATGAAGGGAAGTGCTGGCTATTGGAATCCAAAGCTTGGAAGGGAAGAAAGCCAAAAATCGTTCCTGGGATGGCTTGAAGGAACCCTGGTGATAAGGTTTGGAACCATTGTTGAGCGTTTGGCGACATCGAAACAGATGGGGACGGTGGAAGAGTATGTACAGGGAGGCGAAAAGGTAAGATCGGGATTAACCGAGCAATCCGAGGCCGATCGCGATAACACAGGCCGATCAAGAGTTGTCGAGCGGTCCGAGGACATAGAAGACCAGTCGTATTGGGGATGAACGAGCGATGAGGGTGACACGGTCGGAGGCCGATCGCTATAGCCCATGCGATCGCTAGTGGCCGAAGCAATCCGAGGCCGATCGCAATAACACAGGCCGATCAAGAGTTGCCGAGCGGTCCGAGGACATAAAAGACCAGTCGTATTGGGGACGAACGAGCGATGAGGTGACACGGTCGGAGGCCGATCGCTATTAGCACATGCGGAATCCTCTAGTGGCCGAGCAATCCGAGGCCGATCGCTATAACACATGCCCAATGAAAGTTATCGAGCGGTCAGAAGTCGACCGCCATAATCTAGGACGACCGCTCGGTCCAGGCCATCATTGGCCAGAAAAGAATCGAGGGACGGTCAATTTTGGGGAGGATGAAGAGATGGAGACTAAAGAACCAGAGACCGAAGTAGACCGGAAGCAGAAGGAGATGTCCGCTTTCTCTGCTGGAGGCCTCACTCAGAAAAAAATGATGAAGCCGAATGGTTTGATATGTGACCGAACGGGTATGGTTTTGACTAGCAGTGGAGCCAGCCACAGTTTCATAGGCAAGGTACTAGTAGAGGATCGAGGTTTACCCATGGAGGATACCCAACCGTACCAGGTGAGCTTGGGGGATGAGCAGAGGAAGAAAACCAACATCGACCGAACGGTTGAAGTTAGCGGGAAGGAACTGAACGGTAGATCGAGTGTTGCCGAGCGGTCCAAGATCGAACGCAATATCACAGGTGAGGTTGTCGAACGGTCCGAGACAGAATTAGACCTGAAGCAGACGGAGTTGTCCACTCTCTCGGCTGGAGGCCCTATTCAGCCAAAAGCGATGAAGCTGCAATGTTGGATAGAGGACCGAACGGTATTGACCATTAAAAGACGAGACCGAACGGGGGTTCGACGAAACCGAATTGACTAGGGTGTTCAATCAAAGGGGGAAGAAGGTAGTCAGCAAGGGGGATCCAACACTAGCTAGAAGGTGGGGGGAGCTAGAAGCTTGGTTAAAAATAAAGGAAGTAGTATTGTGGACCTTGGTGTGGAATTTGGGGGTGATAAGAAGGAAAGAGGAAGAATGGAAGATAGTGGGGGAGAAATGGCCGCCACCTAAGCCTCCAGACCTAAATTGATGGACCTAAATTGGTGGGCAGTAGCCAGTGGATTCTCTTCAGATGATAACAAGGTGTCTGCATCTGACCCAAAATCTGCTCTTGCGTTACAAAGACTAGTCCAAGCTGCAGTATGGTTTCTTGGGGAAAATGTAAATTATGCTGCATCTGAATATGCTTGGGAATCCGCCACCCCACCTGGTACTGCATTGATGATGTTAGATGATGAAGAGGAGCCAGGAGACCAAGCCCTTCGGTTCCAACCTTGGGGACAAGGTTGATTCTCAAGGGGGGAGTAATGTTAGGACTTGGAGAGTTTATGAGAGGAGAAGGGGGAAGAATAATACCTAACTGTTAAACAGTTAGGAGAGGATGGGTAGAAGGGCATATATAAGAACCCTTATTGTTTGTTTCAGGGGGAGTTAGACTCTTTGTTAGTTGTATACCGGTCTTGCACCTGGTGAAGGAGGTTAAGCTCCTTGGTTTCTACGGTGTATTCTTGATTCTTTGCTGTGAATACCATACACATTCTTTGCAATTTCTGATTGTTGCGATTACTTACGTGAGTAGAGAGAGGGTGAGAGTTAGGGGTCTTACTTGGATTCCTAACAAACACACTGCCAGCTATACCCGTGAACCTGAGCCTGATTGTGAAGTGTATTTGCATAGGGTTGGCAGAGCTGGGCGCTTTGGGCGCAAAGGTAATTTCCAGATTTCTCTGCTTACTCTTGTGTAGTTATAAGAAATTGTTAAAGTTGCATTATTAAGCTAGGAAGCACTGAGACCTTGGTAGAAAAGTGCGGTGCCGTGCCGAACACTTGTCAGACACTTCTATTAGATGTCCAACCCTATTCAACTGTGTCACAATTTTCTTCTGGCTTACATCTCTTTAACATGATTTGGCTGACGCTACTGTATTTAAAAATAGCAAAAAGAAATTGAAAGAAGACGACCTATATTAGAAATAATGGATGACTTATTTTTTAGGCTTATAAAAAGGACTTAAGTAGTTATTTTAACTATTAAGATTACATGTTTGTTATTTAAGATTCTACCGTGAAAGATGTTATTGCAAGGAAAACTTTATCAAATTTGTTTTTACAACATGAAAATCTTAAACAGTTGAGACTTTTGTCCTGATGCTTATATTACATGTATGCATTTGCTGTGGGTGTGTATCAGCAGTTATACGGTGTCCTATATTTTGGTCATTAGCTGTGTTAGTGGTGTCAGTGTCAGAGTCGGTGCTTCATAGGTATTAAGTGAGCCCCCCTAATTCCTTTTTTTTGTGGTGCTACTTGGTTCAATATATATTATTACTCTGACGGGGTTAGAAATATTTTTAGCTAGTGGGCTGTTGAGTTGGTAGGACACCTGAAAATCAGATGACAAAGGAGATTTTAAAAATTGACTATTTATCTGTAGTTCTTATAGACTTTATCACTTCTAAATTCTTTTTCTTTTTCCATCTTACCGGACAAAGCAGATATTTAGTTTGAGTGATCACCCTGGTCAGACTGGGGTTTAAGTTTTAATATGTACCTGTTTGGCGACAGTATCACTTCATGCACTTTTTTTTGCTTTACCCTTTTATTCCAAAGAAAGTGATTCATAACTTCATTCTTCCTCGAGTTATGAATCATATTTTCAGCGCTGGTATAAAATAGTTAAGTTATCCGTTTGTTTCTTTTGATCCTACAGGGGCTGTATTTAACCTGATTTGTGATCAAAAGGATGAAAGGCTCATGTCGAAGATTGAGAATCACTTCGGCACTCGTGTAGCTGAGGTGTGTCAATTGATTCATAGCACCGATTCTGCTAAATTTGATTTTTTATTATCTGTTCTGAAGGAGTTGTGAAAATATCCATCTTAAATAACATTATTTTGTTAATGTGACTGGGGATGCAGGTGCGAGCACAAAGTGTTGAAGACTATAAACGTGCTCTCAAGGAAGCCGGTTTACTGCAATGATGTGAATCTGCATAAGTCGAAGGCTGTCGATAACTGTTGTGTTTCTCCTCAATGTGCCTGGATTCTGGCCAAGGAATTCGATCATAACAATGAATGGTTTGATTATTCTGCAGGAGCACATGCGGATGATGGTTAAGTTTTGGGGATGGAGAGTTTTTGGTCGGTCTGTTTTCAATACTGCTGCTGTCGTGCTTGATTTTTTCCTGCAGTGTGTGTAATTTAGATTTTTTCTGGTCAAACATATTTTCTTGAGTCTGAAATATACCACTATGATTTTCATATAAACAGCTGATGCATGACTGAGGTGTGTAAACTTAGATATTAAGGCATCACAACGTCAAAGTCATCATCATGTATAATTATTGTCACAAAAATAATTGACCACTTTATGCAGCTTTGGCCTGCTGGTTGTATCTCTCTTGCGAACTGAGCTTCATGCAAACAGATTGAAAGTCACTTTGTCCCTTCTTTTCCCAAGTTTCTCTCATCTGATTTGGCGAATGGAACTCTTTTTTTATATTAATTTCTTTTCTTGTCTCTCATCAATTTGCGTAGTGTTTTTAAATGGACCCAAGTGTGTGTGTGTGTGTGTGTGAAAATTGTTCACGATTGTTATTGCCTTTGTAAAAAACGATTATAATATAATATATAATTATGATATTTTTTACTGGACCTAAGTGTTTTTCTCCTTTAATTGCTCATAATCATAATAATATATGATTCTGTTAATTTGAAGATATTATTGTCATCATGATTTTTTTTATTTACGTTTGTTTAATATTGGGGTTTTTTGTCTGAGGAAGTGGTTTTGCAAGTATTTGCTTTATATATGGTCGTGTGTTGTAAATACACATGCATGTATCTTGTGTATTATATTATGGTATAATTTTGCATTTTTAGGTAGGATATAGAATCTTGAAATCCTTGCGTTACAACTTTCACCCCGGTCTCCAACGTTGGGTAGAATCGTTAGTTTACAATAGGTATGTGGGGGGAAGCGGTGGTGCTGTGTACTGTGTTTCTGATTATAACTTTTGTGGCCAGGATTGTTTTTTCCCTGTTTCAATATGAGATTGGGATCTTCCCTCTTGACTTACTTGACGTTTGATTTTATGTTTACATCAATATTATGCAGCTTATTTTAGTGTGCATAACACTAAAATTTTATAATATAATTCATGTATCTGTCACTGCTCTCTCTTGTTGACTACTGCATTTTGCCCATCATACATTTCCAAATTCATAAGTATGTTTGGCCTGCCCTCCATTTTTCTTGATCCGTATTCTAATTGTGAACTGTTCTGGCTGGTTCGTTCTTCCGGAATTGTTAACTGCAATTTATTGAAAATTAACCTATGACCTGCTAAAGCTATCTTTAAATGGTTTGCGTGTGTAATTGTGTTTGCAGAGGGTAGATTTGTCAGTTTGTCAGGGATATATAGGAATAGAGAACTAGTAGTATGAACCATTTTGATTTTCCGATTATTCATTTAATATTTTTATACATGTGCATGCCGGATTGAGCATTACACCGTTTAGGTTCGGGAATGTTCATATGCTTACATGTTCATTTGTCTTATTTTTAATAGAAATTTGCTGGTAAATATTCCATGTCTTGATTGTTATTAACTTCAATGTTGCAGGATGGATTTAAAGATGATTCCCTGAGGATAATGAAAGAAATAGAAAAAGTCAATTCTAATTGTCAGGTTGGTTGAATTCTCTCTCACGTTGTTCTTCCATGGATCATGATATCTCTCCATTCTCCATCTGCACAAGAAATTATTTCATAGATTTGTCTACGTGACTGAGATATATGCTCCAATTAGACTCAGCCATATATTTTACATTGAAACATGTGCTGCAGTGGGTGAAATTGATTTTATAGTAAACCAATGGAAACAAAGTATCGGCATAATATTTTTTTTTTTTTCTTGCTGCAATTATTTACAAGTGATGTGTTAGTTTTCTTCTCGGATTCGTTTAAGCTTCTTTCAACTTGTGTGTAAATTTCTGCATCCATATAGTTACTGTATTGCATGTGCATGCAGTCCTACGTAGAACATGATACGTAATTATAGTCACCTATTCTGTCTTCAGCATATTATTTTCGTTAGGTTCATGCAAAATTAAAATTCCTTTGAGGCCTCTTATAACGTGTGAAGATATGAAGTTTAACCACCCTCATATTACGAGAAGAGAAACAGTCTATGAAATATATCTTGTTCAGGTCAAACAACATCACATGGATATAAATACATCTTCTTTGGTTGATATTACTGGATTGATACTAGTCCATTTTGTATTTGCACAATTTGGAGCCCCATAACTATTGATCTGCATTGAATAAGCTTTCTGCAGTGAGTTTCTTTTTATCTAGAAAATTGATTGGTCTTGTGTGTACCTCCAGGTTCTTCTGTTTTCTGCTACATTTAATGACACCGTCAAGAATTTCGTTTCAAGGACAGTCAAAGAGGATCATAATAAACTTTTTGTAAAGAAAGAAGAACTATCTTTAGATGCAGTGAAGCAATATAAAGTCTACTGTTCTGATGAACTTGCGAAGATTGAAGTGATAAAAGATTACATATTTGAAATAGGAGAGAATGTGGGGCAAACCATCATATTTGTGCGTACAAGAAATAGTGCACAAATGTTGCATAAATCACTTGTTGACATGGGCTACGAGGTTACATCTATACAAGGTGCTCTTGGTCATGACGAGAGAGAGAAAATTGTTAAGGAGTTCAGAGATGGTTTGACTCAAGTTCTTATTTCAACTGATTCTTCTAGCTCGTGGCTTTGATCAGCAACAGGTACTGTGTTGGTCCTCTCTCCCACTCTTCTCTTTTTGTCTGTCCTTTTATCTTTTAAATGTGGTTACATCCTAACTATTTATATTTATTTAGGTTAATTTGGTCCTCATTAGAGCTTCCAATGACACACTGTTAGGACTGGAGAGTTTTGATATCTCTTGGAGAAGGGGGAAAGAATATACCTAACTGATTTATAACCCAGTTAGCAGAGGATGGGGTAGAAGGGCATATATAAAACCCTTTTGTTTTGTTTCCGGGGGAGTTAATACTCTTTGTTAGTTTACGGTCTTGAACCTGGTGAAAGGAATGTGAAGCTCCTTGGTTTTCTACAGTGGATTCTTGATTCTTTTGCTGTGAATACATACACATTCTTTGCAATTTCTGATTGTTGCGATTACTTACGTGAGTAGAGAGAGGGTGAGAGTTAGGGGTCTTACTTGGATTCCTAACAAAGTGGTCCAACCTGCCGGATCCGCTTGGGAGGGGACTGCTAGGTCAAGTAGGGATCAAGAAGTGATCAAGAAAGGGTGGAGGCATGGAAGGAAGAAATGATACCTTGGAGAGGAGGACCAGCGAACTGAGAATGAACATGGCAGCAATACGCCAAGATTATGCAGAAATACGCCAAGATTTGCAAGAAATTATGAAAATGTTGAGTGGGCGAACCAGCAACCAGCAGGGCCAACAGTCGGACGGCAGCCAAGCCTCTGTCAACGAGAACAAAAGGAGGCAAGAGGAGGAAGTGGGAGAGGCAGGGGGTGAACGCCATGAAGGGCAACCCAGTTGGAGGACAACGGTAGAATTACCCACTTTCGAAGGGTTTGATCCTATGGGATGGATTGCTAGGGTGGAGACAGTTTTTGAGAACCAGGGGGTGATAGAGGAAGAAAAAGTGCGCCGGACATACAGTAGCATGAAGGGAAGTGCTGGCTATTGGATCCAAGCTTGGAAGGAGAAAGCCAAAAATCGTTCCTGGGATGGCTTGAAGGAAGCCCTCTTGGTGAAAGGTTTGGAACCATTGTGAGCGTTTGGCGACATCGAAACAGATTGACGTTGAAGCGTATGTACAGGTAGCGCAGTAAGATCGGGATTACCGACGCATCCAGGAGTCCGATCGCGAATAACCACAATGCCTATCAGATTTGTCGAGTGCTTTCCGAGGACATAGAATACCATCCCGTATTGGGTATGAACGAGCGATGAGGTGACACGGTCGGAGGCCGATCGCTATAGCCCATGCCGATCGCTAGTGGCCGAGCAATCCGAGGCCGATCGCAATAACACAGGCCGATCAAGAGTTGCCGAGCGGTCCGAGGACATAAAAGACCAGTCGTATTGGGGACGAACGAGCGATGAGGTGACACGGTCGGAGGCCGATCGCTATAGCCCATGTCGATCTCTAGTGGCCGAGCAAATCCGAGGCCGATCGCTATAAAACATGCCCCAATGAAAGTTATCGAGCGGTCAGAAGTCGACCGGCCATAATCTAGGACGACCGCTCGGTCCAGGCCATCATTGGCCAGAAAAGAATCGAGGGACGGTCAATTTTGGGGAGGATGAAGAGATGGAGACTAAAGAACCAGAGACCGAAGTAGACCGGAAGCAGAAGGAGATGTCCGCTTTCTCTGCTGGAGGCCTCACTCAGAAAAAAATGATGAAGCCGAATGGTTTGATATGTGACCGAACGGGTATGGTTTTGACTAGCAGTGGAGCCAGCCACAGTTTCATAGGCAAGGTACTAGTAGAGGATCGAGGTTTACCCATGGAGGATACCCAACCGTACCAGGTGAGCTTGGGGGATGAGCAGAGGAAGAAAACCAACATCGACCGAACGGTTGAAGTTAGCGGGAAGGAACTGAACGGTAGATCGAGTGTTGCCGAGCGGTCCAAGATCGAACGCAATATCACAGGTGAGGTTGTCGAACGGTCCGAGACAGAATTAGACCTGAAGCAGACGGAGTTGTCCACTCTCTCGGCTGGAGGCCCTATTCAGCCAAAAGCGATGAAGCTGCAATGTTGGATAGAGGACCGAACGGTATTGACCATTAAAAGACGAGACCGAACGGGGGTTCGACGAAACCGAATTGACTAGGGTGTTCAATCAAAGGGGGAAGAAGGTAGTCAGCAAGGGGGATCCAACACTAGCTAGAAGGTGGGGGGAGCTAGAAGCTTGGTTAAAAATAAAGGAAGTAGTATTGTGGACCTTGGTGTGGAATTTGGGGGTGATAAGAAGGAAAGAGGAAGAATGGAAGATAGTGGGGGAGAAATGGCCGCCACCTAAGCCTCCAGACCTAAATTGATGGACCTAAATTGGTGGGCAGTAGCCAGTGGATTCTCTTCAGATGATAACAAGGTGTCTGCATCTGACCCAAAATCTGCTCTTGCGTTACAAAGACTAGTCCAAGCTGCAGTATGGTTTCTTGGGGAAAATGTAAATTATGCTGCATCTGAATATGCTTGGGA